TAAAATTGGAGTTTTAAATATTCAAGAAAAACGTACTTCATTGAAATCTTAAATAAGCTCATTTTATTGTAATCCACAGAGATGGTATTAGAAAACATTTTACAAAGTCTTGTAATTAAATGGAAGATTGAGCAGACTAAGACTTGTATCTCCTGTCATTTTCCTGTCTTGCTGACTTCTGTTGAAGCTGCTAAATCTGGCAAGAAAGAGAGCAAAGCCTCACAAGACTTTAAGCATTGCATTACATTCAGTCTAGTTCAATCAGGCTACATTGTAGATGTTCTAGAAAAGGAGTTTACTTGATATTTAGTTATACATATACTAAATATTAAAAAGCCAAACTTTTCAAAACATTTTGAAACATGAAAGTTTTCAATTATTTGACAATAATGGGATTAGTCTGGCTCAATATCTCCTACAAAACATTTCTAACTGACATACTGTATGCTAAGATATTATGATGTTCAGGCATTAAGGCCTTAATATGATCTGTGTCCTAGAAACACAATGCTTATGCATATTGTGCATATTAAGAGGATAGTACAGTATGTGTTCTTTGCTGCTTTGTTTTCCCAAATAGATACAGCATAAATAATCCAGAAAAATTCAATTTGTGTATAGTGTATATTGATCTATCCAGCCTGAGTGGATAAGACATGTCAAAAGAACACAATAGCTCTGCCCCTGGATGGGAAAGTCCATTGGAGGGCCTCAGAGAAAGGGGCAATATAGAATGCTCGATCAAACCAGCTAGCATGTTTGGTGGGATTTATACCATTGTGAAAACCCAGCAAACAAGGGAAGAACATGCAAACTTCACACCAACATACAGGTGTAGCCATTCAAAATGAGCGGGGTACGCTGTGGTACAACGTTGGGGGCCTGTCACACTAAAATGCGTCATATAGCTTCATTTCGCATCATACCACATTTTAACATATGCAAATTAGATTATGTTAATAGTATCCGGAATCAGCTTGTAAAACCGCCAGGTGGAGCTAATAAAGCTTAACCTCTCATGTACAGCATTTGAGCTGTCACCAGAAAACACCTGCTTTTGAATCCCGATCACTGCTGAGGGACAATTTTTATTCAATTAAGAATTAAGTTGTATACTCTTTAGACTTTTAAATTTAAACTGTGTATTACAGCATGTTAATCATTATACATTAAAACGTTTGTATATTTTATGAAAGCAAGATTGCTCAGTTGGACAAAAGTACACAACCTACCACCTTATCATAAATATTTTAATTATGCAGAAATATTTTATGCATCAAAGTCTTTACCGAAGATATTACTAATAGTATTAATAATGAATGACCTTGAACAAGTTGTAAACTAAAAATATTACCCTGGTCCACATTCTTTGTAGCCATCTTTGTAAACGAAAATACTTTATTTTTTCATTGACAAAAAGTAACACCACTGCATTTCGTTGATCCGAGCACGCATTCATTTTCAGTCTTACAAAGTATGCCTTTCACATGCTCATAAAAGATATTAATTTAGGAACATAAACATATTACTGTATGTAAACTGTACTGTATATGGCTGGTCTTGGTAGTTTAAAGAAAAAATACACATCAGTATTCAATTTCTCCCTAAACATTTTAAGCATCAAAGTGTTACATGTGGTTATTTCAGAAATGTTTTTCCGATCTCCTTCTGACCATATGACTGTACATTTATATACTTTGTGAAAATTGATCATTTTAACCATTTCTGCGAATACACACATTATCGGAGTAAACAAAAGCATACTTTTAGAATTTGATTAATAGGTAAAATAATTTGGAATCGCATATCTAAAGAAATTAATAACGATATAATTATATTCATGTACTGTTGCACAAACAGTAGTATAAGACTTTCCATTGATATGTGTACTTCTGTTTCACTATGTAATGCATGACTGCATCTGTGGTGTGATGCTTAAGTAACTGACTTATAAGGCTGAGGTTGGGTGTTCAAATCCAACTACTGCCATGAGTTTTCTTTTAACAAATAAACATTTTTTTGAATAGCAAATATTATGGGCACTATATTGACCTTTTTTATATTTTTAAATATCACAACATGTTCGTACTGTATGTACACAGTGGTACCGCAGGGTGTAGGGCACAAACCCACGTGAGCCTGAAAGCCATTCATTAATGTAGCGCATTCGATGCGGCTGAAGAGCACCTGGCTGGGGTGTGTGGCGAGGGGCAGGATAGGTGTGCTAGTGGTCAGGGTGGGAAATAGGACCAGTGCAGCTGACCCACTGTGAAACGGGCGTACAGTCTAGGGAGATCACCTGGTTACGCACCCCTGTGTGCTCTCCCTTTCTCTCTCTCTCAGCTGGAAATAGAATTGGCAAGCCTTCGAATGAAAGGCAGTTCCCCATCCCCCCACGGACAGACTGACAAATGTTTTCTTAGAAAAAGAGATTCACGACGCGAAGATGTGTCAGTCTTCTGTGTAAAAAATCGGTTTGAACATCATGGGTGTTGTTTTTAATAAGCTGCTGAATAAAGAATAGGAATTTTCCTGCTGTCAGCAGTATTGTGTATATATTTTTATGCACAGGCTGTGAAAAGTTTCACAAGTAGAGGTCTTTAAAATTAGGCTGGGCAAATTATTTTTTTAATTTAAAAAATAAAAATAAAAAATGAGATATAATGATGTGTTCCTGCTTAGACATTGTATGGCTTTAAAAGCTATAAAAACAGGCTTTGATAGTTAATAACCACTTTTTATGCATGATAATATGCGTGATTATTCTTTCTCGTCATCAGATCTTTCTTGAAAAATGTCTTTTATGTGTCGCAAAAAACTGACTTGCTTTAACAAAATATATTTACTAATCCTTTTGCCTGGCAATCTACCTGAATGCCCATCTGAGAAGCCCTCAGTGAAACCAAAAGAACCACAACTGAACAAGTTTTGACAATAAGAGAGAGAAGAGAGAAATAATAAGAGAGTCCCCATTAGCCCCCATTTTAAATTAAAATGTAAACGTGAGTTTATTAAATGCCTTGATTCATAATCTGACAATGCAACGTTAATCCTTATCTTTGTCTTCTAAGTATCTTAATCAACTTTCAGCATAGCTTTCTCTCCATTTAGATTTTTTTTTTCACACAATCGCTAAACAAAGCAGGAGCATATTGTGATTCCTCTTGGGATCAAACGTGAAAATATTAAATTGTAGTCGTTTTTATTTTTTAAATACATTTTTAGAAAAGTGTAATCTATACTAAAAAGCTGTATCTATTTAATACCACTTGATAGTTATATTAATAGAGATAATTCAAGTTGATACTGTTTAGACTTTTAATCATTTTAAGCTGTATAACAGTATCTTACACATCAAACATGAAAAAGTCGGTATATTTTATAAAACCAAGATTGCTCAGTTGGACAGTATAAAGCAAGTATGTTTTTTAATGTTTGTAATCATTATTCTTGCAAGTACAAACATATAAACTGGAATGCTACAGAACCCTAAACAGACAATACACACTAGCCAAATATACAGTAGCTGTGTCAGTCTTCTATGTAAAAAAATCACAGACATCATGATTTGAACATCATTGCGTGTTGTTTTTAAAAAACTGTTGAGTAAAGAATATGAATTGTCATATGCGTACGCTCTAAGTTTCACTTTGTTTCTTTCTCATCCACTGCGATTTGGGCACAGAAGTCAGACAGGCAGAGGGAAGGGTGAGTTGTGAAACTGTTACCTGTCCTGGATAAAGCAGTTAGAAAATAGGTGGTTTTACACCTGTGAAAATCGTTCCAATTTTAATGCAATACGGGAGACATTATTCATAATAAATGGTCTTGTACGATCTGTAAACTGAAAATTTATGAAGGAGACACTTTACACTTGGAAGAACATTCCAATGTTAATGTGACACTGAAGATATTATTAATAACCTTTTAAATCTGAAGGGAGATGTAAAAGGATCCACACGGCACAGGTCCCTGCTTGCTATTTAGAGGGAAAGACTGTGACACCATTGGGCAGGCAAGCAGACACATCCTCTAAAGTCAGGCGTATGCGTTAAATATATTTAGATCTTTGAATTAATATCATTATTGATTTCTTTAGCCTCACAACATTGTCCAATAATACTCTTCTTGTCTAATTTTTAGTTAAGCAGGATTTGAACTACAGAAAAAACAGGATTCACTTTTTTCACATATTGATGATAATAATACAAGTAGCAGTTTGAAACTACTCGTTTTTATTAATAAATGACTTAGATTCGAACATGTTGTGATATTTAGAAATATAAAAAAGTCAATAGCGTGTCCATAATATTTGCTATTTTAGTTTTTCAAAAAAATGTTTATTTGTTAAAAGAAAACTTGTGGCAATACCTGGATTTGAACACCTGACCTCAGTCTTATAAGTCAGTTACTTATTAACCATCACGCCACCAACATATCAAGTAGTGAAACAGCTGTACACATACAAATAGAAAGTCTTATACTGCTGTTTGTGCTACAGTACATTAATATAATTATATCATTATTAATTTCTTTAAATACGCAATTCCATATTATATTCCCTATTAATCAAATTCTAAAAGTATGCTTTTGTTTACTCCGATAACGAGCGTATTCGCAGAAAAGGTTAAAACAATCAATTGTTACAAAGTATATAAATGTACAGTAATATGGTCAGAAGGAGCACGTAAAAATGTTTCCAAAATAACCACATGTAAGATTTTGATGCTTAAAATGTTTAGGAATAAATGGAATACTGATGTGTATTTTTTCTTTAAACTACCAATACCAGCCATTTACAATACAGTTTACATAATATGTTTATGTTGCTAAATTAATATCGTTTATGACCTTCAGATGCCTTATGCTCTTCTTCTTTTTATGATCAGCTACTAAAATTTCCCTTTAGTTGTAAAATTCCAAATATATATTCAATACTCAGTGGATTAAAATGTGCGCAGTAAAGAGATTAAATGATTAAATCTTTTCACTACCAACCAATGCACCACGAGTGCCCCTGTCGGTCATTTGTGGCCAGCCAATCATGTACCGCGGTAAGGTCTGGTGGCTTGTGCGTAGTTGTGTGCGGTACGGGTTTGTACCGGGAAGTTTGAATGGCTGCATCTGTACACCCAAAAGCAGAAACCAACCCAGCACCTCATAGCCATGAGGCAGCAATTCTGACCACCCCCCCCACTGTGCTGTCCTGTGTACTGTATATATTTGTTAGTCTTATATAGCTACTACATACAAAAGTCATGATAGAAGATACATATTCTTATTTAAAACCTTCAAAAACTTTACTCTAACACATATGTAGAAAACTCAATGTTTTCATAATGGACATAATATAGTATACATAATATGAAACCTTGAAAAGTTTATTATGTTTACTACACAGTATGTAAAAATATAGCACACCAAGATGTTAATGATGATCTAATTGAGAAAAAATTGATATAATTTAAAGAATGATAACTTTATTTAAGTTCTAGGACATACTCCCTTAGTACAGCTTTAAAAAATTCAACTTTGATTAGGACAGCAACCTTTTATGTATGATTTACAGATTTTGGCAGGCAATACTTTTCCTTTTATCACCATTTAACAGTTTAGCCTTCATACAACAAAGACAATTCAACTGTATTGCAAAAGCTTATTAGATATTTAAATTGATCTTATATATGTAGTTCTGATTAGTGAGGAAAGGAAATTTGAGAGTACACAGTCTTGCCCGTTAAGACACTGCTTATTTATTATTGTACTCACCATGATAACAATATTCTTTCTTTACCATTGAGACCCAGAGCATGTTGCTATGCAAAGAAAACTCTTCTCTTTTTTAAGCATTTTTTTAAAAAAAGTAGAATTGAGTCCTTTTTCTGATAATTCAGACAAGCATGTCTTCATTTTATTTAAAGGCTCTTGTGCTTTTCTGCTTTTTATCCAACAAAAGATTCCTTCTCCATTAATATAAGATCTTATTTTTTATGTACAGTAAACTTCAACTTTCAGGGGACTTCAGTTCACTTGAAGCGTGCAAAGAATTTTGGAGTGGAAACAGGGCATTGAGATCTTCAACTATCGAGCTACCTGTAAAGAAAAAGAAATAACATTAACATTTTGATTTGCAGTATAGAAGAGTAATAACTTGCTAAATTGGGGACTGTAACACGAATGGCAATATTTTGTATTAGAGTATTAGAATCAAAATCAGAAAATTATTCATACAATGTATACAGTGCATCTAAAACAGATTATTTAAGTGTTTTTAGGTATTATATCTGCTTCATAATGTAAAAAATAAATGAAAAACAGAGAAGTAATTGAGTAAAGCTACACCATGAAACAGTCCTATATTTTTAATTCATGTTTGTGGAGAACAGCTAACACAACAAATTTATTGTGTTAGAGCTTTCAAATTACTCCTGTCACAGTAACTGCACAAATCACATTTGATTTTGTTCATTTTTCCCTTCCAAAAACCACATTTTGATGGTAGGAGCAGGTTTACAGAAATCATTTAAATTGCAGTTTAAATTGTTTCCAACTTCATTTTTGCTCAAGTAGAAAATGATTTAGTAAAGCACACTCAAGGAAACGAAATGAAATAACTGGCAAAAACCTGAAAAAAAGTGAATTATGCTTTAATTTGTTACTATTCATATCATGATTTACATCTATGCTCAGTTCACATGCATATCAGACTAAGGTGTTAAGAAGAATGATAATTCCTTTCTTTTAGAGTCAATTTACATTTATATCTTCAAAGTGCCTGGCAGTTCTAAGCTTATGGGCTTTTCTGAAGGTTAAGTGGCATGTCAGAGTGATGTCCTATTGATTTATAACTACTTGTGAAACCCAGAAAGTAGTTCCTAGTACCAGTACTAAATTGCATTGGTAAATGTGTGGCAGCACAACACAAAATATTTCAAAATAATTTCAAAATAAGTACAATGGTACAGAAAAGTACTGTATATGAATATTATCATTGTATTTTTATCACAATGTTTACCAATGTAAGAAATATCACACAATATGTTATAGAATGACCTATATATTACTGATTTTTGCATGTTCTTGACTTACCCAGTACGAACAACAATTAATATTGTTGGATCTGCAAATTACTGGTGCAAAAGTGTCTTCAGAGCACACATTTATAGTCGATAAGAACATCAAATCCATATAATATTCTGTAGGTATGGAAATACCTACTGGTAGTTCCTATGGAAATATGTCTATAACATTTTAAATCAAATTTGTTGTGTGTATTTATGTACAAAAACCATAAGACCTTTGTATTGTTCTAATACAGTATTTTCTCAGTTTTTCCTTCTTGAAGTGAAATCATTATAATACTACAGTAATTTTCAACGGAACCTTTGGAAAATTAACTTTAAAATAATAGGTCCCTTACAGATATTTATTTTGAAGGAGATGAAGTAGTATAGCTTTAAAGACGTTTAAAGACAAACAAAAATGTTATTAATGAGGAACATTTCACGTTGGCGTATTGTCAGAAGTTCTTTATCAATTACATTTTTTGTCAAAATCACTATTTTTATACAGAAAATACGTAGAATTGTTTTCCAGCCCCCTAAATACTGTTATGTGGTGGAGATTCTTGGGCTTTAATCTGAAGTTAGAGAGGGAAGGAATTGCAACCTGGGCAGGAGTGAATGGAGAGTGGAAATTAGCTGTGAAGACCATCTAAGGAAGATTTTGATGGTGAGAAGAGAGAGGCATGGGAGGTAATATTTTTCTACGTTACATTGAGTTGGATACATTTCATAAACATACCTACATTAATATACTCTAGTCTAAAATGTATAAATATGTTGCCATATGTTGAAAAAAGTCCAAATAAATAACACTTCATTATACAATATATCTGGGAGTGCTTTTAATATTTTCCATTGCTCATTGTCTTAACATTGCATATTTTGCTGATGCCATAAGATTGTACCTGTTTTTAAGACAATTTCAGAATAAAGAAACACACACCCCACTTATTCAAGAAGAAAATATACAGTGGCTTGGAGATTTTTTTAATTAAAAATCTATGTTAATTTCCCACTGGTTCTAGCAAACAATTAAGTTGTTGTACGATATATATATATAGAGAGAAAGAGCTCCAAGTCTAATATATAAGTATAAAGAATTTCTACTGCAACAAGGTCCTGCTAAGCGAAGAGCTGAAACCTGAAAAGAGCCCCTTTAGCCAGATACAGTACTGAAACATACTGTTCTAAAACACACCAACTTCGACCAGCCACAGGGGACACTGCTTAAACACTACAAATTAGCATTCAACAAATTACATCATAAATCACTACTGCACATGTTGAGTTACACACAAACACAAGACAAACTGGAAAGCTATTGATCCCTAAAAAGATAATACACAATTGCTGTGTATTTGAACAGTATGATAGCCAACAATGAGAAGTAAACCCCGATGATGTCCACTGCAAGTATATAGTATAATAATAATAATAATAATAATAATTGCTTACACTTATATAGCACTTTTCTGGACACTCTACTCAAAGTGCTTTACAGGTAATGGGACTCCCCTCCACCACCACCAATGTGCAGCATCCACCTGGATGATGAGACGGCAGCCATACTGTAGTGCGCCAGATCGCTCACCACACATCAGCTCTCAGTGGGGAGGAGAGCAGAGTATAGGCAGAATTTTTTTTTCTCCACTTCCATCAAGGAGAAACAGAGACAGAGCTGCACTTTCTGCAACACTGCAAGTAATACTGGGGGATTAGAGAAACATTCTTCTCCAAAATATCAAACCAAATCCCAGAATTCCTACACCTGCTACAATCAGAACAACTTTCAGTTCCACTGGGATGGGGGACGTAGCTCAATAGAGCTGGCAGCCCAGTATGTAGTCTCCTGTCACAGAGCGAGGAACAGTACCGCTATATCAAAAATCAAATTATATTATGTTTTTGTTACAGATTTGGGGAGATTTTTAATCATTGTTACTGCTGTGGCAGCAGTGTAATTTCTTGATCTAGCCAATAATGCTCCTCCAAAGCACTGACAGAGTCAACTCAATCATCTTATTTAGAATCAACTGTGAAATACCAGAGGACACAAGTGGAAACAATGTTAAAGTACACATACAAGTGAGAACAAGAGGCACTTTTTTACACATGGTTGTGGGAATCTGGAACAAGCTACCAAAACATGTACTATATTTAAACACTTAGCTCTTAAAAAATAATTGGATGCAATCCTTTGCTCAATCAAGTACTAGAAACCAAACTAGCAAGATAGACAGTATGGCTATCTTGTTGATTTTAATATTTATGCTCTCCCTGATTAGGAAGGGATTAATATTTATTGTTATTGTCATTTCAGTGTTTGCAGATACAGTACAGTAAGTGTTTAAATACAATAATCCTTAGTATTCTTCAACTGTACATTTAAATTCCTCATATCAAATTATCTCTATATAATTCTCTAGAGCTAACCAAGTAAATATTTGTGTGCTTTCAATAACCACAAACCAAAGATTAGTACACATGTAATTGATTTATTCAATCAAGAGACTGGACATGGCTTTTAAAATAATATTGATAGGGCCTGCTTAGATGTTACAGTGTAGTTAAGCATGTAATAGGAACTGCATATTCACAAATGCTAATAAGTAATTGTGGCAGACCAGACCCTTTCCCTACCAAAGCGGTCTCTAGGGTATGCACACACAAAACTCACAATGACTCCAAAAAGGTAAAGGAAGCCTTATTTTAGGCCTTTTAGACCAAAAGACCAACAACAAAAAGATAGCATTTACAAAAAAAATAACACCATGAGCACCACGCATGCTTTATTTATACAAGCAAATAATTAATCCCATGTAAAATATTGTTCATTCATAAACCCTTAATTAGTTACCTATTAATAACTTAATTAATCTCCCCCATTCTGTCTATCAACATGGAGGCCAAGTAGCAGCCTCTAGTGTCAGGTCAGCTGCAATTACTGTACAACACTTTCTACAGCTGTCCTACCACAGCAACATTACAGTTTGTGCTAATATAACATAGTTGTACTCCCTTTCTTAGATGTGTTTTTGAAATAAATTGTTTTAAGTAAGCACCCACCTGGGTGATGCATTCAGCCGTTTCACACCAGCAGTCCTAATATATAAAGTAGAACATGAGGTAAAGAAGTAAGAAAGTATGTCACTAATTGAATTAAGAAGGAACTGTAGTGAGGACTGATTGTACAATCTCAAAAGGAATTGAGCCTGGACACTCAGTTTAAATTTCTTACCCTTACAAACAGTGCCATGGGAGCTTTAGTTGTCAGAAGCTGTCTAATATCTCATCCAAAGAATGGCAACTCCTATAGCACAATGACCTTAGTCTCCATACTGGTGGCAGCATTTGGAAAATCTGGTTCAGAGGGAAGAGTACTGCCTAACAGTTCACCACACCTCAAATAGCTGTAATCCCAGTACTGATTATAACCAACCTTGTTTAGTTTCTAAACAACCTATTTATAGACAAAATAATATCCATGTTTTTATAGCCAATATAATGTTGTCTTTCTATTATACTGATGACAATATTCTTAGAATTGTGTTCCTGATACATTCATTTTGACATCAGCGTTTTAGTATAGTTTTGAGCACTGCACTGTGACATATTTCTGAATTGGAGAACTAAAAGAAAAAAGCTTGCTAAAAGCAACAATTTTCTGGAATGACTCACAGGGCAGAAACAAAGCAAAGTAAAACATGCCCTTAACATTATTATTATAATCTTAGCAGATGCCCTTATTCAAAGGAACTTACAAAATATGCAATAAGACATAACATAAAATCAAAAAGAAAATCTTTCAAACTCAGTTTATAAAAAACAAAAAGTAAAAACTACAAATGACCAAAAAACAGAAAGGTAGGCATATGTTAGTGTTATTCAAAATCCTGTACAGTATTGAGAAGAGTGAAAACAATTTCCACAGAGTGGAAAATGCACAACATGTACATAAAGAACCATTGATGACACTAAATAAGGAATGCCATTGAGCGGACTGCTGTATTAGTTGGTGGCTTGTAAAAGTTAATGACAGTGAGAGAGAGAGATCTCAGGTATGGTTTAAAAAATAAAATCTTGAGGGTTTTTCAAAAGTTGGTCAGGGGCAGAGCGATTCTGATTTTAATGGATAGTTATTTCCATCACTGTAGCTCCAGGGATGAGAATGATCAGGCTCTGGAGGTGAGGGAATGGAGAGGAGAAGGAATAGAGAAGAGCTGGAGAGGTCTGGAGGGCATAAAGGGAGAGATGAGGGTTTGGAGATAGAATGGGCCAGTGGATACTAACCATATCTAGTCTTGCTTTAGTTCAGAGATATCCTGAGATCAGGTTAGAAAGTGGTAAAGCAACCTCATTATATCAGAACAAAAATATTAATGTACTTAAATGCCCTTGTGATGGAGTGACTGAAGTAACAGCATAGCATGAGAAAAATTAGGGAGAGTTAAAGAAAAGACCAAACAAGCAGAAGGATTGTGCTGGAGAAGGGAAATAGCACTGGAGGGAGAACAGCAAGGCTTGAACTAAAACTTATGTAAACAAGTTAGTAATGAAGGGGCTGATCCTATAGATATTGTTCAGCGGCAGGAGTGGGACAGAACAGAAATGTGATAGAAATATGACAGAGATAGGACAAGAAGTGCACCAAGGTTCTTGGTGGAAAAGGAGGGAGAGAGAGTGATGTAGTTAAGTGGAAATGAGATGGACAAGTCAATAGAGGGGAGTATAAGGAAATGAAGTCAGTTTTACAGTATAGAGGCTCCATTTCAAATGCATCCAGTGCACAATGGCTGACTGACAGGCATCAACATGGTAAGAGACAAACATATCAGAGGAAAGAGGATCTTAAGAGTCATCTCTATAAAGATAGGTGATGCAGCTTAGAGGTTTTCAGGGGCATCAGGGAAGAGTGCATGAGACACAGAGAGCAAGCTGTGTCAGCAGACCTGGTAAGTGTGATCAGAGCTGTAGGAGGTAAACTAGATATAAGCAGCATCAGTGATTCCCATGGTAGTGAGTGTTGAAAAAGGATAGTCAGTCAACATCCACAGTATCAAAGACACAGAGTGAGTGGAAGAGATGTCATGGATGATTGTGACAGATGAGAGGGGTGAAGCATGTGCTGACTGAAGGGCATCCATAACTGAAAAAAAAGTGTACTCTTAGTAGAGTTGTTGTTTGAAAGCCTAGATGCTTGGGGTCAAGCAGTAATTGCTGAGAGAAGTAAGTGGAGGGTTGGTGTTGTTGGCCTGTTCAAGAGTTTTAGAGAGATAGGTTGTGATGCAGGGAAGGGGAAAACATCCCTAGAGAAAGGCATTGAGAAAACAGGAAATATAGAGAATGAGATCATGGGATCACTTTCCAGCTAAACATTTTGTGTACATTCAAAGGTCAGTGTCCACATGTTTCTCTCAGGCCAAGTATGTACATGGTGATTGCTGATATTTCTAGATAGAACACTGAAGTGCTACTGTATATTAATGTCCTGCAGCTATACAAACCTTGTGCATATTCAAATGATCAAGTTGTGACAAACATAAAAAGGAAAGAATACAGTCATAAATGCTGTGTGAAAAGCTGACAGTCAGACAACAATTCTAACAGCTGTCAACCAATTCCAATTAGTGATTTATATTAAAGGAACATGATTTTAAGAGCAAATGTGTACGTAACTGAAAGCCAATACAGAGGTGCAACACCGGAGTGTATGTTCACTCTAATAAGGATCCTTTCAGCTGAATTTTGTTCAGGCTTTAGCTGCAATAAAGCTTAGCTCATAGGACCAACAAAGACAGTATTGTAGTCGTCCTATATGGATGAAATAAAAACATTGATTATCGACTATCTTATCAGCGTTAAGACAGAAAATATGTATATTTCTGGTAATATGTAGTAGTTCAGGTGGGTAGCTGGATCACCATGTGTAGGCTGCAAAGGAACAAGTAATAGGTTTATTCCATGCTGAAAAAAAAAGAAGAAAGAAAATACAATGTTTCGGCCATGGAGCCTTCTTCAGGTGTGAGCTGAACTGTCACACCTGAAGAAGGATCCACGGCCGAAACGTTGTCTTTTCTTTCTTCTTTCATTCTGGTAATATGTCTTAAATAATAAAAACACATTTTAATTATTGTGGAGGTGGCCCTTAACAGATATAAGTAGTAGTACCAATTACCTTAAATGCCAAAATTTCATTTCTTCACATTTAAAATTTTGTGTAAAGTCACCTAGAACTAACGAAGACTTTTCAGAGTTTAATTGTGGAAAATTTTAATACAGTTAAATAAATTCAATATTTTGCTAATGTTTCAAGACTTCATAGAGATAAAGAATTCTGTATCCAGTATAGCAGTGAAAATTAACACATAATATAATATATGATTTCTATGACCCAAAGGTAACATGTAAAAGTATAAAGAGAACATACTGTATCAAGAGTATAACCATAAGTAATATTTGGTAAATCTGACTTTGATTCCTCCAAACAAAAAACAAAATCTATTTGAAAGATAGGATCTACTTTACTGTAGCTAGCATAATACATTACCCATCAAGCCCACCCATCTATTAAGATATAATCAAGCACTGTATCAAAACCAACACTAAGGTCTGGAAAAACTCTATTTTAAATAGTATTTGAATCTGTGATCATAATTGTTTCATAGTCTAACTAGGGCAGTGTATGAACTATGATGGGACAAAATCCAAAATGTTTTAAAAATGGTAATATTTAAGTTTTTTTATTGCTTTTCCATGACCTTAAGAAAGAAAGATTGGAAATGGTTAATAAAAGTTGTTTATGAGGAGGAGATTAACCAAAGTAATTATACATTGGAACTAGAACTACCTTTCCAGTGAATGATTTTTTACTGCAAAGTGTTACAGATGTGACATCACTGGAATATGATCTAACACACTGAGTGAAATTTTCATCGGTATGATGGTCATGATACAATCCTGTGTATTCAACGGAGGTTTTTAAATGAAGTTTAAGAGAGATACCATCAAACAAGCCAATTGCACCCACCAGTTCTAAATCATAATCATTACTAATATTCACAATATACTGTATATCAACCTAAAACCTCTTTTCCACATTTTGTTTCATGTGTTATTCATCTATACTGTACATGGAGCATGTTTCAAACTAAACTGGCAGCAAAAGAAAGCGAGGATGAAAGAGTAAAAATATCATTTTGTTTCATGCATTATTTGTTTCCGTTAAGAGCAAGAATCTCTGGTTCCCATAATGAATCTGTTGTTTTGTCTGCATTTGTTCCTACATCATTCATCCTGCATCTCCCATTACTGCCATCACTGATATCAAATACTGGACTCTTGCTACATTGCTGATGACTTTACAATCATTTTTTCCTTTAAAAAGAATACACAGAAGATGTTTTTTTTCTACTTCTCTGAAGTCTATAACAGGCAAGCTTGTTTTATCCAGCATACTTCTTCTTTTCCCAATGACATCACCCAGCATGCTGCAAAACACCAGTTTATCAAAAGGATCCCTGGGTTGCTTTCACCCTTATTACTATCTAATCTATCTTATCCTCATGTTTGCATTTCTCTTCATATTCCCTTTTCACAGTTTGTCTTGGTTTTGTCCTGAAAATGTCTTTATGCCATTCTTGCTCTTTTCCATATCCTCCTTTTCATTAATTTAATCTCCACTTTTGTGTGGTCTCTTCTTTTTCTGTCCCTGATGTCCAACACACCCCAATTACAACAATATTTGTCCCGTTGGCTTAAGTCTCCTCCCTCTCAGCCCCTGTTGCCTCTGATGCAACCTCCTCGACGTGAGATCTGTCTGGCATTCTACCTTTGGCTTAGTCAGCAGGCATGCTACAGCTTTTAATGTCTGCCTTTCCTCCTGCCCCTATCACTGGCATCTAAGCCCAACACCTTTGGTGCCTTCAGCCTCGGCTTCAGATGTTTTCATCTTCAGAAGATGTTTTCGTCTTCAGATGTTCCTTGGTCCACTGCTCTTCAGTAGAACTCTCTGTTAAACTCAATTTTTACATCATGTGTATACGTTCACTATAATGCGGGAATTTCCATCCATAACAGCAATAACTTCTCTGGATACTTTATGTATTTTATAGTGTAGGCAGATTGTCAACAAAAGTATAAAGTTGCTTAATATTGAAAAGTGGGAACATACAGTGCAAATGCTTGAATTTTCTAAATTTTACTTAAATTTACATTGTTTCGTCCAAAACCAAAAATGTCAAACAAATCACACCCAAGCATGCAGAACGTACATTGCTTCAGAAATACCTCATGTATTTTCATCACTATTAATTAAGAATGCAATGGGAATCAATTATGCTGCTTCGGTGTGATGTTATGAAAGACAATGATATGCCTGTAGAAACTATTAGAGGGGACATTCTATTATTGAACACATTGTAACCTTCAGAGTATGAAATGCCAACAAGAAGTCACATTTATGGTCCATCTATCCACCATCCTTCAATAATTTGCATTACGGAAGAGATAAGTGAGGCCTACCTTAGTTGTTTTTACTTTATTCCCTGTAGCACAGCTCCAACCTTTAAGATCTGGTAGAACTTTACATTCTTCTCCATCCAGACATGGATGCATCTGACACCACCATTTCTGTTCCACAATTGAGGCTATAAAATATGAAAATATTAAGGCAAGGTTGGAATTTGAATATATGTGCAATAGCTTAATGAACACACTTAGTTTAGCAGAAAACATTAATTCACCACTTCGCAATATATCTATTTAAAAGAAAGTTTTAGAATTTTAGAATGATTGTGAACAAAAAGAGGCGTGTGTATAAGATAAAAGCTTAGGATATGAATCCATTTTGTAGCATAATTAATGTATTGCTTTTTTACACACAAATGGAAATACAAATGAATATATACAGTATCTTTATGACTGCAAATGACTGGGAAAGTTTAATAAGCAATTTAAATATTGCAATTTGGTTTTTGGTAATGAATAAGAATCTAAATGGCACTGACAGAAAACTACAGAAGATGATTTGAAAGTAGTTTATTAAATGTCTTACACGTGACTTTTTAAATTGTTTCAGTAATATTATAAAAAAAATCATAAAAAAGAATCAGTTAATCCTTAAAAAGTTACACCACACATCCACTGATGGCATAAGCAAAGAATTCAGAGTGGTAGCACATAAGCCTCAGACAAATTTTCTTAAAAGCTTCGTTTAGCCCTCTTGACTAAAATAACTCATAAAACTCTTAAGTACAAGCTTATGATGAATATTTAAAATTCAAACACCTTAATCTATCATTCTTAATAGGACTATTTTACCATATTTCGACTTCAGAAAGCTTTATTTTTTATTTTAATGGTCAGTTGTTGAACATTTCAACAGGACAGAAATATTCTAATAATTTATAATTGAGACCATTGAAAATTTAAGCATTAGGGAAAGATATCAAACTATCAGGAGGTTTTAAAATTTAATAACATTCAAAGTTCTGGGTTCTAAATCTTTTAATAATTAAAATAGTTAAATCACTAAGAAAACATCTAAAACATAGAAAAGGTGGGTTGGGCTCCTGTTTCAAATGTTATCCTTTATGTTCCACAACATTAAAAACTTTTATATTCTAATTTTCTTTTGAACATCTTCTTCAGGTCTATTTTGAGTATAGAGAATACATTAACCCTTGTAAAAAACAATTTGTTAAAGTATAAAAAGAAAATATATCCATTAGAACACAGATTAATTTATTAAACCCGATGACTGGGTTAATTCAACATTTCTAACTACCACTTTATTGCACATTTAAGCTTGATATAGTATTTAGTGGGATCTTTCTACTTAAAAGGGTTTCCTTTTACCAAATGGAACCAAATGGAAACTTGTTGGTGGGCCAAATTCAAGTTAATCCAGATGGTTGTAGAATAAGACTTTGAATTAATGTAGGTAAATACTTATTTTACAGAATAGTTGCAGAATATGCTGTAATTCTTAAAAAAAAGAGTTGAATGGTATATTTGGTTAACTTAGATTGTAGTGTGTGAATATGACTATTGTAGTGGAAATGCTTATTAATAAGACAGAATTAAGTCTTGCTGTGCTTTTCCTAGTGAGGCCCCTCTCTCTCATCTCTATGGTCCAAGCCACAGAGAAGCCATTCATGTTGGTTCACTGATTTAAGGATGTTTGTCTTCCTGTTAGGAACAGTTCCCAGGATCAGGATGCAACCAGCTATCATGATAGATGTATACTCTTGGCACCTGGTTGTCTAGTGAGACTCTATGCACATCTGGATTATAGTCCTAGAGTCAGAGGTCATGGTCAATCACTCCTCAAGTTGACCAACGAATGAGGAACCTGCAGGGCGTGGAAACCCCAACTGCCCAGCAACCTCCTGACCAATAACCAACTATATTGTCCTCGAGTTAAAAAACTTTGCACAGAGTTCCAAGATGGCTCCTCCATGCACCCTTGCACTCCTTCAGACTCATGTGAGCAACTTGGCTGTCTGACAATCACATGACTGCCAGTGCTACAGTCTGAGTGTTGTAACTTTTTCCCAAGTGCCAAGCCAGAGAGAGCCCATACGAGGTCAAGCCTGCAGCAAAACTGATCAATGGAGCAATACGATTGAAGTTTTGTCGACATCTGAATGCTTTTATTCAGAGGTAGCTGCTACGCTGAAAGAAAACCAAGTTTCTCCCCCAAAGAGTGACTTGCTCTGACCACACAGTCACCTCTATGAACAGATTCACTAGTTCAGCGCAAGGCTAACTAGTAGGTCTCTGGAGAGTAACAATTTTCCAGCGCAAAGCCGACAGAGGAACTCTCTCTCCTTCTCCTCATGACTCTGAGCCGCACCAGGACTGGTTGGGCATCGAGCCAGGAGACCACGGATTGGATACCGCTTCAACAGAGCCTGTCAGCTGTTCCTTCCCTGTCCGTGCCAGAAGATACAAATCCATACTGGATGAGTATAAATCCAATATTCTACTTTACCGATCTTGAGAATTCAATTGTTATCTCAACACAGGTTGATATCAATTTAATTCGTATACTGTAAGTTACGTATTTACTTCTACTTTAGATACTTATGAGTATCTAAAGTAGAATCTGTATTAATGAGACTGATTAATGAGATAGTGTAGTCGAATGGTATACTAAATGCATATTTCTTTGTTTTGTACCTCTTCGCTATTGTGATATATTCTGTATCTCAGTAACCCTCACAATAAGATCTCCCATCTGTATCCAGACAGACTGTTATATGTTTTTATATGCACAATTTGATGTATTAATAAATGTATTTTGTGTATTTGAGTCTGTGTATGTGTATTGCTGATTATTCTGTGTATATTATGTGATTATTATGTGTATAAGATTGATTCCTAATAGCGAAAGGAACCACCACGTAATTTTTTGTTACAATTAATAAACTGTCCCAGTAAATTCACAAAACCTCTACACTATGATGAAGCATGGATCACTTATGTATAATTGCGCTTCTTCTATGTTTTCTTCTCCCATGATCCTTATTTACAAAAAGATTCAAACGTTCTCAGCATATTGTTGAAGCACGTTCCTATGACTAGATCATACTTAATGAAGGCTCCTTAATGAAAACTCTTGACAAATACTTGCAACTTTGGTTCAGTGGCTTCTAGAGTCAAACCTAAGTTAACATATTATTTTATGATTTCTGGTTTCCATTATGGTCGACCTGGAAAAGCAAACCCACAAATAAAGAGAAGGACTTTTTTGCACCAGCAGTGTGCTCAGAACCTTTTGACCCAGCATGGTAATGTTCCTTTGTTTTAAACTGAATTGTACATTTGAAAGACAACATAGTATTTATAGCATAAAGCACATTCCCAACATTTTCTTATGAAATATAGACTGATGGGAAAAAAAACGCAACACCCCCTCCTCAACACTCTGGCCCTCCTGACTGCATGGAAGAGGCTGAAGTGACTCATCCATGAAGAGGACCCGATGCCACTGCATACGAGTCCATTGCAGCAGTCCATCCATTGAAGGTGTGAGCAGAGAGCCTATGACAGGTCGCCCTGCTCTAGGGCCAGCAGCATGGAGCCTCACTCTCCTGTCACCGATGCGGGCATTGTCTCTGCCGGCAGTTTCAGCAGCAGTACAGGTGGCAGATCTGAAACGATCTCTCAGATGGACCGGTCTGATGTGTCGGTCCTGCTCTGGTGTGGTCCCTTGAGGGCAGCCGGATCTTGGACAGTTATCTGTCCTGCCGTTCTACTGAAACCTTCTCTGCAGTTGGGACACAGTGGAGCAACTTACTCCATAATGTCTGGACACGCTGGCACATGTCATGCCTTCCTGCAGCGTGCCAATGGCCCTCTGCCTTGCTTCTGGTGACATTGGAGGCATTACGGAATGCATAGAAAACTGACGAAGTGTGGCCTTTTTCTTGCAGAGACCTAAGCTTTGAATTAAGGCCTTTTAAAGGTGACCTGATCAGGCATTGTTTCCACTTGAACCTCATTGGGTAAAAGTGCACCTCATGAGCTTTTGTGTGATTGGCAAGTTGCAATGCCTCACAGCACAAGCTGTATTTGCCGGTCAGAGGGCTTAAAACAAATCGACAACGTTTTGTGAAGGTACAAAAGGTATAACTATAGTATTCACATTACAGAAAATGTTGCGTTTCTTTTTTCATCAATATATATTAACATAACAAAACAGTTTGCTTTTTATGTTTATTAATAAACTTTAATTGTTACTGTAACAAGATTTGGGCTAAATGGTTTGATCTAGAGACAATTTTCTTTTCTTCATATTATCCTACCACCCCTGGAGGTGCAATTCAATTTATTTCTCATATCTGATGCATCCCTAATTGGAAGCTTAAGAAAAAATAGAACAGGGTTTCCTGACTAACTTTGGAAGGACTATGTTTAATGTGTAAAAATGACAGAAGTCTATCAACGGCGAGAACAAGCTGTCACAGTCTTTAGTAACATTTAGTAACATGGGCCCAACTACTAGCAGTATTTAGATTTGTCAATACGCCTTAACTCCTTTTTTTCTACACAAAAGGTCACAGTAGTATTTAGAAAATGTAACCAATGTAATTGAAAGAAAAATTGTGAAACATTAAGCTGCAAAATATATGGCTTAAGTGTGTTAAATTTGGTTAATATAATTATGTTTACATAAACATCTCCACCTTTTTGAAAGTTTAGACATTAGACAACCTAATTAAATTTTTATGAATCATCCACACTCATTGCTCAAAATATAGAATAATTAATAGAAATGTGATAATTACATTATTTTTGTTGTTAGTATCTGTTGTTGAGCAACTGTTTGTATCTTGTTTGTAGCTGAAAGAAACAATTTCAAAAGGGAGTACAAGATTATGGTACTGTATATAAAATGCTGCACAAGTCAAATAATCAGCAGCCAAAGCTCCAGGAGGGACCAGAGATTAAGTTATGGAGATGTTGCTGTCTAGCAGTTCTTTAATGGTAATATTTTCAACAATTATCTAGCTCAATAAGTTACATAAGATAATCTCTGCAAATCTTACATGTGTGCATCTGTGACTTCTGCACGAGCTCTTGATGATCCACAAATCCAAATGACCAAATGCTGCTTATGTCTGTTTTATGTTTAGCTTGGTACTAATAAACTGCAGTGGACTGCTTTGGAACACAGAACTTTTATTTTTCTCACAGTGAAACTATCTGCCTTTGGTGATACCCACAGTTATGGAGAGACTAGAGACTAGCTTTCCACCTTACACCGCATACAGTTGATCACCCTGTTAGCTACATAAAAGCAATACAAAAAATAAGCAGTAAAGATCGCCTACAATAAAGACATACAATTATTTAATAAAACAGAATTTCTATACTATATTATTTAGAGATAATATTTCTCTTACATTTCTCTGAGGATATTGATTTAAAAAAAGTTCACAGTAACTGAGTCCTGGAAAAGTCTTCTCAAAAATGCACCTACCATCTACACAGGATGGGGCAGCACGTGTTGTCCCCGCCACTTGTCCTGGAAAGCAGGAGCATTTTATTGTTTGAGATCTTTCTTCTATCTTGTTCTTGTTGCAGCATCTGTGAATTGCCACAACTTCACATGTTCCAGTTTTGACATGGTGAACTGTGAAAGAAAAATAAATTAGCGTGCTGTATAATATATATATTTAATATTCTTCTTACCTGCTGCTTTGCTTTCCAATGGCAATATCAGCAAGGATTTCTGACAGATTTGTAAGGTTTAGAACCCATCAGTATGCTAAATGTTTGGTTGGGTAGGGTTATTCTAAATGCATGCTGTTGCAGGTTACCTCATATTACAAGTGGCTCACAGGCTATTAAAATAAGTGCATACTGTAGCATGTGATATCTTATTATATGTGATTATCATATTATAATCATGGAAACATCTTATTATAAAAATACTTGGCATTTTCCTCTGAACCCACTGCTAACAGAACTTTACCAATGAGAGAAGAGAATTAGAAGGGAAAGTGAAACAAACAGGACACAAGTGGAAACTACACGTAAGTGCATTTAAAACTGAGAACAGGTGGTACTGTTTTACACAGTGTTAATAGTCTGGAAAAAGCTACCTAGCCATATTGTCGAAGACGATACCCTGGCTTTTTACAGAAAATGGCAGGATGAGATCACTTAAATACTAGCAAAAAATGAGCTAGATGTTCTCCTCTCATTTGTTTATAATTCCCTTTCTTATGTTGTTAGAGATCACATTGGGATGACAATGCAAATTATACAAACAGTATTCTAAAATGCTGTTTAGACTGTTATAAAATAATCATCTTTATTAACATCACACTGCCAATATACTTAATAAATATCCCCAGTGCAGCCTCCTCAGCCTTCAAACATGCCTTTTGGTGTACCTCAGAATCTACTGATGCAGACTGAACCTTGCCCAATCAGGTGTCAGCATTAGACAAGGTATAAAATTACTGTAGAAACAGTAAGTTGTGAGAACATTGTCCACCAAAACTGTGCTAGTAATTGCAGGAAAAAAAGAAATTTGAGTAAAACTGTTTTTGTTTCCCAAATCAAGTCTAAAGCTGTGTAAAGCTCATGTTTTGAAAAGTGAACATCATTTATTTAATGGGCTCAGCAGGCATCTGCCATCAAATGAGGCAGTGCCTAACCTCCCAGATGGGATAATTGATACATGAATCTCGAAGGACAAGCCTGTTAAAAGTGGTAGAAGGAGCAGAAGGGTAAGTCTGTTTAAAGATTGATTAAGATTGATGTGTGACCACACTTAACTCATAACCTATGAATAGCGTAATACATCACAAAAACAATTTGATTTTCTTTATACAGCTCTTCAAGAAGAAAAATGTCAGCTTGTTTCACAGATTAAATTTGTAAAGTTTAATACATGCTGGCCTTTGTCTAATTTGGGTATTTTAAAATATTTTTTTCTTGAAAATAGCATGGACCACTACTGCCTCACAGCTCTCGGTTCTAAACTGAGCTCCGTTTAGGGTGGAGTTATTCCGTGTTCACAGAAGTTTTTGACAGATGGTTCATTTTCTTGTTGCCTTCCAAAGACATGCTGGCTAGCTGGTTAACAGGTATCTCTAAATTGACCATGTGTGCTTTTGTGCACTGTGATAGATTTAAGTCCTATCCAGGATGTTGTCCCTACCTTGCTCCCTATGTTTCTTGGTCAAATTGAAAATGCTAACCTTGAAACATATACCCCTAGCATAACAAGCAGTTAATAGCCATTTTCTTTCTGCCATGTGCTGTATAAAATCTTATTCAGATATTCAGTTTAATATTTATCTGATTATACATACCATCTTGAAAAGATTATATATCTTTTTGTCAATATATCAAGGTACATAGACAGCTCATGATCCTGTGGTACATGACCAGTTCATTAATTTTTACTCCTGACCATTGTCTGTTGTATGTTTGAAATAAACATACTGTAAGCATTCTAATCTGCACTAGGTGTCAAAGAAGTTATATGGCTTCTGCATGAAGGAAAAGTCCACTGTAAAATTAATGTTAATCAATTTGTTGTGGGAATGACACAACAACAGGAGAAAAAGAGATTGTGTAACCCCCAAAATAATAAGGATTGCTATAACCTGTCCCTTTCTTAGGTAGCTGTTAATGCCACTCAAGGAATAAAGCCTCCAGACATAATTTCACAAAACATTTTTTTGTAAAGGGACAAATGAGACATAGCATACAAGGCTGCCAAAAATATTCCACAGTCTATTATACGCTTGCAATTTGTCTTATAAAAAACACAGTATTATAGCCTTCTAATATTCCTTTTAAAATATTGCCCCAGTTCAAGTAATGTCTTTACAGAATGATGAAATAAGAGGGATCATTAATACTAATTACACAAGACCAATGAAGACACACTTAATAATGAGACACTTATTAAGCACAAAACACATAAATTCTGTAGGTGGGAGGGCAAAGGATAATAGAACATGAACTCAGTTTTTATTTCCTAAGCTCCATCTAAGTTTCAGGCGATTTCAATATCATTAATACCCCAGTGCTCCCATTTGTTTCCCTTTTTTTACATTTCTCTCCTTTATATTTCCCATACCTCTACAGACATACAGTTTCAAATCAGTGGCATTTACAGTACCTGCAATTAACCATAAACAATTAAACTCATTGAAATCTGGTAAGGAAATACAAATTATGTCAAACATAAATGTGTAAATGATTAAACCTACTGTATACAAAACCTAAAACAAAATTCAACACACATGCAAATACTGTATATGTTCTGGTATTACATCAGAATTAGTATTCAAATGAGAAGAGGTCATTCAGCCCATCTAGCCCATGGTAGTTATTAGCTACTGTTATTCCTGCAAGGATCTTTTCCTTGATCCTTGAAAGAAGCCTGGGTATCAACTTTAAAAACCTGGCTCCATATTTTCAAAAACCTTTGTGTAAAGTAGCACCTGCTGTTCTCAGACTTAAATGCACTTCCATATAGTTTCCAAAGGTTCTCGGATTCACGTTTCAGTGTTTATGTTGATGAAGTCCAGAAAGCTGACTTTGTCAATGCCTTTGAGGACTATAATGATTGTCTGTCACTAGAGGGCATTCAGTTAAGCCCTGCAATGTATCTGATTACTCTTTGCTGGACTGATTTAAGTGTTGCAATTATTTTATATTAATGGTAAGATCAAAACTGTACTCAACATTCTAAATAAGGTTTTACAACTACTTTGTACAATTATAACAATGTCATATCCATTGATTTAAATGCTAGACTTTTATCTATATTGTAATGTTTATTGCTGCCTCATATACAGTAATATAGAATATGTAAATGCTGTGTCAACACAAACACCAAAGATGTTTGCATAAGCAGCCTAATCAAAGTCAGAATTCTCCATTTTGTTTCTCTAGTTCATGTTTTTGCTTCCTGCAAGTAATGATCTCCATTAAACATCATCATCCATTTGCTCAGCCAGTCTTACATTTTATCAAAATCTTTTTGAATTTCATTTGCTGTTACCATTTTGCTATAATCAAAACACTTGAGGAGTTTAGTTACTACTGTATACCACAATGTACATAAATTAGGAACAGCAGGAGCCCTAGGATAAATAACTATGCTACTACACTGATTGCATTGCTCTGATTTGAGAGTTCATCCCTTATCTATACTATTTTCTAATAACCAATTATCAATCCAAGCACATGCATATCCTGAAATGCCTTAATCTGAAAGTTAGTCTTTTATGAGAAATTTTATCAAAAGCATTATGAACTTTTAACTATAAGTTATTGTATGGTCTGTTTGGGTCCTTCACTGCTGTTGCTTGTTCAAAGAACTCAATTTGGTCTATTAACAATCCCCTAGAATCCCTTTTCATATAGGTGATCCTAACGTTTAGTTCTAATAATTGTTTCCATACATTTTGTGACAAGGCATATTATTACACTAAGAATTACAGTAAATGTCATTAAAGATTTCATGTTCATTTTTCTGTTGCCTTAACCAGACAATAATAGCAGCTCAGACCTCTGTGTAAAGCACTAAGAATAAGAATTTTAAAGCAAGACAGTTGAAAAGATACGTGTCTTAAAGTCTGTAAACAGAGAAGGACATTAAAAACTGTGTCTATCCTCAACCTCCCTAGTGATGAGTGGTCCAACATGGCACCTCTCAGTCTGGAACCCACGAAGAGAGGGTACCCTCAAGAGAACATGGTCAATCACACAAAGGATGAGCAACCCATAAGAAACCTGTAGGTCTTTGAAAATACTACACTTGATGACATAACCAATCACCAATCATGATTTCCATGTTTAAAAGATACTTCACACTTTCTCTGCTTGCTCCTCCTTATCAATCCGGGAAAATCTGACAACATCACCAGCCACTTGACTGCAACCACTGCCATCTGAGTCAAGACTTTAATTTTAATTCAAGAAGCCAGGCTGAGGGAGATAGTTTGATCCTGTCTGCAACAGAAGAAATCTTGTGTCTTGCAAACCAGTTAATTTTGCGTAATCGATAAAATTAATACAGTCGGACTTTATGGTCATCATCTTAAATATCACAGAATGTTCTGTATGTGTGATAATGAAAAGAAAGACAGCTACAGAAGAAAACAATGCTTACTTATAGAAACAGATTAGATTTTTTGTTATTGTAAAAGGAATAAATTTATTGATGGCCACTTTTTAATAAAGACAAGCAAACTTTTGATCATGCTTAAGTTAGAGGTACACGGGCTGGAGTTCAATGGGTGAGGTTTGTTTTCCTCCAACCAGATAGAAGAGGGCAGGATTCATTGATCTGCACACTAAGGCCTGTCTCTTGCCAGGATATGCTGTTGTATTGTGCAAAACAAACCATGAAAGTGCATAAGCCACAATGGTGATATTTACTGTACATGCACGATAGGTGAGCAGATGTGGGCAAGGGTAGAATTTGACTTTCTCTCAAACTTGTTCATAGAGGGGCCAACGGGGAACTGTAGTCCCAATTTCTCAGACCAGTTATTAAATCTTAAAATTACAAATTTTGAATTAAGCACAAAATCAGGAACTTTGTGAAAGTACTGTAAGTCACCATGTTGTCGCAAACTTGCATTCAAGTTCCCACAA